TTATGAATGTTCATTTCATTCAACTCAATTTCTTATGTTGTTGCGACTTTATTGTGCCTCTTTAATTTTACTCTCGTATGTGTAGCATATTCTTTTGCATTTTGTTCGTGTTCTCTCTATCGGTGGCTATTCTAGCAAGCATCTACGGCCGAACATTGTATTCTTGGTTTAGTTAAGGAGATAGATGTCTCAGTCTTTTAGGATTTAAAATTACTTTTTGATTACTTTTTTTATATAATTATTTTACATGCAACCAAAGAATAAAAATAATATTTTTTTAATCATTTTATTTTTTTATCTTTAAAATACATAATTTCTTTTCATTCCTTTAATTTTATCATTTAGCTAATAATAGGAAGACATTCAGTAATTTATAAGTGACATTTTAATAATATCTAATGAAATAATTATAATATTGATAGTACATTATTATATAATAAATTTAAATTATATTATTTTTTTATCATTTTTACTAGCATATTCTTATTATTTGTTGATTAAAATTAAAATACAAGTATGACCGTCAATAATAATTGATGCTATTTTTAAAATTATTAATTACTGCTGTTATTGAAGAAATTTTTTAGCCCTGCCTCATACTCTTAAGACATAGGGCTTTCTGCTCACCCTTTCTACGCCTTGCACCTCGCTAGGCCTTTCTAGCACTCCTGCTTAAGACGCTCTGTTCAACCTCGGTTTATCTCTTTATAACGCTCTGCTCAACCTCTATAGCAAGTCCGCATAATAATTTTTTTTGTTTACAATTAAATTTATATTTTTATATATTTGGTTATTTTCTACTGGCTATAAATGACGTTTTGTTGGATTATTTATTGATGCGAGCTAGAAAATTTGTGGCGGTAGAGTAATGGATTATCGTCTTAGCGTTATATGAGAATTCATCACTCATATACATGAAAGTGAAACAAACAGCTGTGAAGTTCTTCAATGTATACAATTTTATATTATATTTATTTAAAATCAAAAGAATATAATCTATAATAAATATATTTAAATGTATGCCTCACAAAAATGTTATAAATTTCAGTATCAATATTTTCGGATGACGAACTCGCCTTAAAATACGAGGGCAAATGATAAGCCTCAAATAAATTTTCATTATACGACACAAATCTCAATGCATGACACTGCTATTGAGACAATAATTTGAGCAAGAGATGTTCAAATTTTGATAAAAAGTCATCCAGAACTCCGATTTAACAAACTTATAGTCAAACTGACCAGCTCGATGGGAGGAACCTGATGACATCAAAGTTAGGTCAATTTAAGTCAAATCAAGCCCGAATCAAGTCATTTAACCGCTTTTGGAAGATTCTCAGACCCATTTGAAAGGTCAAAAGGATTTGAAATTTAGCAAGTTCATAAGCTAATCGAGCGTCTCGATAAGAAAAATCCAACAAGCATTGGATCACTCAATTCCGACATCATTAAAGCATCCAAATGTCCATAAAACGCCGTTTGATTGAAGGAAGTTATCTGGACCATTCGATAAAAATAATTCATATTCCTGCATTAATTGCACACATAACACTATAAATAGAGCCCCACCCATCTCATGAGGGGGAGCTTAAGCCTAGAGTGAGAGAGAGCATGAGATATTGAGGAGGAACTGCAGCTCAGCGTCACTGTTGACTGTCCTCAACCACCGCTGTTCGTAGTCAACCTTTGCCGACCTCAGTCCCTCACCGTCGATTGATTTTGACCATTGCTGACCTCCGTCAATCACCCTCGATCGTCGTCGACCCCTAACGACAACAGTAAACCACCGTTAACCACCATTAACTGTCGTCAGCTGTTGTGAGATATACCAGTTGATGTGGTATATATATAAATTAAACAGGAGAACGATTGACGAAGCGAAAAATAGCACAAGAAAAATTCAGACCAGAAAACAGTAACATAGCAGAACATATAAATTTACGTGGTTCAACAAATTGCCTACGTCCACAGAGTTACCGAGGATTTTTACTACTTGAGGAATTTACTCCGGTCAATTGTCTTGACTTATAAGAGGAATCTCTCAGTTTGTTGCTCTCTCTTCTTCTCTCTCTACACTGAGATACACCAAAGAAATTCTACACAGAGTTACATCAAAGAAGACAAACTTACAAGAAAAATAAACTCAATTTATCTTCTGCCACAAGCCACCAAGAAGAAACCAAGGGAGAACAATCTTCTTCTTCTTTTTTCTTCTGTGGCAAGGAACTGCTGCTTGCACTTTTCTTCCTCTATCCTGAGGAAACCGAAGAATAACACAAAGGGACCGTGCAAAATCTGAAGGAGACGTGCGACTTCCATCCTCTTCCTCTAAGCACACGCATCGCGACTTAAGAAAAAGGATAGAGAGGCGGGGATAGTTAAAGTGTGGAGGCGGGAAGCTTGGAGGGAACCGTTTCTCTGACAGAGAGAAATCGTGATTTTTTGCAATTGGATAAGGAAGCGGGAAAGCGGGAGGCGGGACAAGATTGGGCTCCACACCAACATCAGCCACCGCTGATCGTCATCGATCGTTGTCAACCACCACCGACTTCCGTTGACCTCCGCCAACCGTCGTCGGTCACCGCTAACTATCAATCATCATCAATTATCACCAACTAAATGTCGTCAGTCGACACTGTAATATGAAAAATAAAGTTTCCATTTCCCGTCTATGAGACAAGTTATTTGTGTAATCATCAACCAATAGTGCGCAATTAGCCCAGACTCCGTGATTTTTCCCTCTACAGATTTTTTACGTAAAAACTTCTGTTGTCATTCCCGATTATTCTTATTTCACTTTAGTATGTTGAATTCTAATGTAATGTTAAGATGATAATTCATTACTTTATCGTCGTAAATTCTCTAGCATACATCAATTATCATGTTGACAGATCAATATTTTAGCCTATTAAAACTTTCATAAAAATTATTAACTGGTTCAAAATGAAGAGTTAATTTATATAGTTTATTATGTAAATAGTGAAATGCGACGGGGACAAAATTTACTCTTCTAGTCGAATAAACTTGTCCCTTCTCAACAGAACTGCGGTCGCCCCTGCAAAATATTAAAATTTAAATATGAATACATAAAAAAATTTATGTACTCATATGTGAATATATTAAAGTTAAAGCTAGAAAGATTTATATATATGCCTGTATTTTCATGCAAATATAAAATATGAAATATATAAAAAATAAAATCTAAATCATAAACAGAGAAACACATATATGAATGGACAGCTACTGTATGTAAATATTTTAAAATTATGTTGTATGTATGTAAAGCCTGACTTCTGCTGCCATTAGAACTGAAGCAGATGAATTACAGCTAGTTTGGGCGGAGCGTGCAGCAGCAGTTTGCTCGTGCTTTAGGGATAGATTGACAAGGAGAGAGAGAGAGAGAGAGAGAGGCTGAGGAGTATGATGGGGCGGGAACTGTTACAGCAGTAATTTCAGGGATGTCATAGATTTTCTTCATTTAATGCTAAAGATTTTCTCTTAATCTGTTCATTAGAAAGAAATTACAAAAGTAATTAAAAAAATTAGTTTTTTCAGTTATTAATAAATCTCTCATATATATATATATATATATTATATATATTGGATAATATTTAAAAATAAATAAATTCATTCCTTCCTTTTAAAAGATATTTTGCCTTTTATATAATTGATTTCGATGATAAATGTATTGATTTCTCAGTGGACAGTCATTTTTTGAAGGCTTGTTATATGTGATAAAAAAAAGTTATGATAATTGGGTAAAAAATTTTTGTGTTGATGTTACATGACAAATTAGCATATTTATACTAATGAACTGCTTATGTACCGGCCGTTGGCTTGTTATTTGCTAAGTTGACTCGCTGAAATGATCTGTCGATCTTTAAACAATTATATCTTGAGATAAGATAATTGTCAAAGTAAAAAATCATATCTCAATAACAGACACGAGTCGTCGGATATTCACATCGCCATGATGAAATTCGACTGTTGTGGATAATTGTGTATTATACAACCTATAGTTTTATATTTTTCTTCTATTTTTGTGTGGTCGAGTTCTCCCGCCTTCATAGAGGGCACAAAGACATCATAAGAAACTTTAAATCTGGATTATCTCCTTCTATCTCATTTGAGCTAGAGCCTAGAGAACATACATCAATCCTCTTCTATCTCTACCTTCACAACTCTTCTTTAGGTTGTGTGAACCAATGAACGATACGAGAGCCAACATACTCAAAGAATATAATAATCATGTAACACTTCATTCTTACAAGAGAAAACATGGTTACAATATTATGAACATTTGCCTGTTTTAGTATTTCTATAAAGTAACAAATAATAATCTTAACGTAGGGTTTATTTAGGAACACTTTCAATTTTTACTTTTTATTTTTTATTTCATTTTATTTATATTTTAATTTAAATTAAAACATGATTTATATGAGATACTATGTTTAAATGTTATTAGAAACAATCAAAATGATTTCTTAGATGTTGTAGGTGTTTTTTATAACAAAAAATTTTTAATAAAATAAAAAATAAAGACATAAAAATGCACAAAATAAAAATATTAAAAAAAAACAAATAACAAAAGATAAGAGTGATTCCAAATAAATCCCAGCTTATAATGTTTAGGTAACAGCAAGCTATAGATGATAACATGGACTCAATTGCTACATGACTATAGTTTAGCTAGTAATAGTCAATGAAGATTACTGGTGGCCAATGACTTCAAACTTTTTTTAAGCTTGTGGTCGTACACTTAGCTTTGTTTCTCCTTCATATTAAAAATGATCACAAAATAATTATTTAAAAAAAAAATAAAAAAATTTAAATTCTGATTTAATATGCATTATGCTTAATAGAGTCAAATGATATTACCACCAGTTTGGGCGCAATAAATGTGTATACATGGAATGATTACCACGACAGTATCAGCCTGCGCCTCTACCCCCTCTATCTTCCTCTCTCTCTCTCTATCTCTCTATATCCTCGCTTCGCGTTCTCTCCCCTGTCATTCTATCCATCTTGTCCATTTTGTCCCATTTCACTTCCAGAAGCTCTCATCCGCACGAGCTGATTGCCCCCTCTTCTCTTTTATATGCACGCGGCAGCTTCCCTGCCATTGCGTTTTGTGACTTTTAACAGTTTGCCCGCCAGACCTCTGATCTTCCCTCTTCAGCTCGCCATGGCGACGGTACTGAACCCCAACGCGCCTCTTTTCTTCCCCACCACCACATTCGCCCCCGCCGGAGACGAGCTATCTGTCCACTATCCTCCTCCTCGCCCTCCTCTGCTCAACCCTTTCTCTGCACTCCTCCCCCAACGATATGAACACAGTTGCATCAGCAAAGGCACAATTTTTATCCACCCTTCCTTAATCTATTACCAATCTCCTTCCATTTCTGTTTTCCCAAATTTCTCATACTATATCCCGCCTTCCAAATGCTTTATTGAACCCGAAGCAACGGCGTTACCTAGAGTAGGCGACGGGGAGCTCGGTGGAGTTGTAGAAAAGCAACGGGTTTCTGAACTAAGCTTGCGAACCGTGTCTTCTTCTCGCTTCGCGATTAGAGGGATGCGAGGAATTCGCCATGGAAATCAACTGATGAAGAGGAGTTATAAACAATGGGTGCGCAAGTCTGCTTCTTTAGATGATAACTCGCCGCAAGAAACAAACTTTTGTTTGCCCGACGATTTGCATTTCACTGATGAAATGAAAAGCACCGTCATGATTAAGAATGTACCAAACAAGATCAGGTTTTGACGAACTTCACGACTCTCCAATTTTATTTAGTCTTCATGATAGATAATCTCAATGATGTTCTGTTTTTTTAAGCAGTAGGAAGCAGTTGTTAGATTTGCTGGATCAACATTGCCGCAATGAGAACATGAAGAACACGGAAGAAGATGCTGACACAGCATTATCTGAGTTCGATTTTCTTTATCTTCCCATGGACTTCATGTAAGTGAAGTTCTTATCACCATATCTTGCTAATTGACTCTACTGGATTAATATTCCTATTAGAATTTTAATATCTGATTAATTATTTAAAAACAGTAGCGGCAATAATCTCGGATACGCATTCGTCAACTTCACTACTCCAGCGGCCGCCACAAAGTTTTATCAAGACGTGCATTTAAAGCCATGGAATGATACATTTGGCTCTCGCAAGATCTGCGAGATAACCCACGCAAAAATTCAGGTAAAAGTTTATTAATTTCTGCTAGCATATCTTCTTACTGAGCGATTAATGTCTGAAAAGAGAGAATTTGCAGGGATTGGAAGAGCTGGTAAAACACTTCAGACGATCTATTTTTACTTGCTCTTCGTCAGAATATTTACCCGTCTACTTCCATCCAAGCCGTGATGGCTCTCGCGATTCTCCAGAACACTTGATTGGAAAACTTCTCCATCGTTCCACTTCTGGATAGGCAGCAGCAGCAGTAATGCGCCTTCTATCTCGCTTTCTATCCATGCCTTCAGAATCTGTTTATGGGTGGATAGACTGAGAGAAAGATGACAGATATTAGGAAAGGTAGTTCTTTTTTTTACACGCATCTGATGTTATTTACCTTTTTCTGTATTACAGAACTGGAATGTAATGTCTGTTTGGCAGTATGTATTAGCCTGCTTGCTTGCTTATGCTGGAAATTTACTGTTTTTTAATTATTTTTTTGGAACGGGAAGCATTGGGAAACGTAAGCGGCGAGCATTAATGAGGAAATGATGCCTGGGAAAGGCTTAAAAAAAGCTCTAAAATATGAAAAAGGTGCAAGTGTGGTAACCGATGGAGGGGGATGAAGTGGGCGATATCTATTCTTTAAGTGTGGTGGTGGGTGTGGGTTCGTACGATGATTTTGTTTATGTTAATTCTTTTTATAAATGTCACTATTGGAAGGGAAGCATATTTCACCTGCATTTTCAGGACTAAGTATAAATATTTTAGATGTTAATCAATGTAAATACAAGAGATTTGTGTGGTGCGTTTGTAAATTTTTCGTTCTTTTTTTATGTAAATATTTATGGAAATTTATCTGAAATCACGGGGCTTTGAAAGGTGGGATTTTGGAGCAAGAGGAGTGAAAAGGGGATGTTTTTTTGTTAGGGTTGAAGGCGACAGGGCCAAGTGTTTTCAGGGATGCGGCTGCCGAGGCTTCGTACGGCCTAAAATTGTTTTATGTTGGCCTTTGAACAATTTGATATACCCTTTAAATTAATTTTTATGCATTAAAAAATATAATTGACTTGAGGTTTGATCTCCTTAGGGTAAATGGTCAAAGTATGATTTCGAACCTTATAGGTGATAAGCACCTGATAATTAATGCATCTCCTCCTCGTGGGTTGTATCTTAAGGTTACAAATGGTGTTTCAGCAGTTTCTAGTCTGAATGTGATGTTTATCTTTCCTATACATTTGTCCTATTCTTTCTCGCCTTGTTGTCTTAGCATAGCACAACCTTCCTATTGCTGTATTTGCTTAACCCCTTGCCGCCGCTGCCCTCCTCAATCGCCAGTTCCATGATTATTTTGGCTCAAATGCCTGTTGATGCTGCCACCCTACCAACTGCCAAGACAATTCTCAAGCATTTGTTCCTGCTACTTGTGTTGTCCGAAAGCTTGCAAGTCTCCTTGCCATCATCCTCCAGATGTAAAACATAACAGGCACAACTTGCACAATATTCCCTAATATTTTCCCATTTTTATTTGCTTTCATTCTATTGTATTTTCACTTTCTAGTTCTCCGAAGTTATTAGTGCTTGTTTTGTGTTTATCCCCATCTTATCTCTACGCTAATGTATGCAAATCTTCCATTTTTTTTCCTCGTACCAAAAAAAAAATGAAAATTTGCATTTATAGCAAGCAATTCTAATCTATTTATGTAGAGAAAATCTAATTTTTAATTTTTCATATATGTAAAGTTGATTTTTTAAATGTCTATATGATGTCTGTAATTTAGTGCTGGTATTAAATGTTTGATTGATGTGTGTAATTTTAAAAAATGGACATGGGATATGCAATACATAAGAATAGTGTCTATAAATGTAAATGGTGGTAAAGTATTTTTTTGAAGTTGTGTTAGTAATTTGACACTTATTTTATGTTGTGTCAATTATTTAACGATTTAAATGTTATGCAATTAAACATTATGGTTTAGACATTAATATACAAATTTAACAGAACTTTGGTATATGCTTTGCTAGAACTGGTAGAACAAATTAGATGAAAAATTAAAATTTGATTGAAATTATCAATTTGTTTGTGATGTATCTTTAAAAAAAATTATAAATAAGCACAACTTTTGATGAATTTTGAGATAAAAACAACATTTCAAATTTAAATTTAAATTCAAGGTCATTAGAGTTTTTTCGCTGCGAAATTTAATTTGCGTCTGTATTTGCGTCAAAAATTCCAACGCCATAAATTTAGATAGGAAAAACGAGCGACATAGAAGTACCAACGCTTTTGCGCCGAACATGGCCAAAGCTAACCTGCGTTGAATTTGTGCCGTCCTTTGTTAAAGGGGGTTATTACAATACTTAATATCGGAATATTCTGACACTAATATGACACAAACATGTAAAAAAAAAGATAAAACAAGACTTAGATTTCCACAAACCTACACAGAATAAACACAAATAAAATAATTAAACATTTTTATATCACCAGATAAAAAAATAACATATTTAGCAAATGATACCAAATTAAATTAAAGATAAACTGATCAAATTGTTCAATGTACACAATTACGGAAACTGAAAGCTAGATTACATAACCAACCCCTCTGTCAGGGGAAAATCATCAAACACATAATAAAAATCATGATATTCCTCATCCTCCTCGACACACTCACATACTGCTTGCTCCGATAATCAAAACTCTCTTTCATACGTCCTAGGCTATCTGCAAGCATTTGTTGGCCTTCATCCACTTGTGAGAGCGCTTCATTCATCATCACAACTCGCCTGACAAACTCCTCAAGTAGAGCCTATAACGAGTTAGGGTCACACACATCAACACGCGAATGCTTGGCCTCAAATGACATCCCAATTGCTCTGAGGCCGTACACTCTCTCTTTCTTCTTCCCTGTCGCCTGATACCACACTAAAAATAAGACTGAGCAGTGGTAGACTCGCTACCATTATTGCTGACGAACGGTGAGGTCTGGCTAGCCATCTCCCTCTCTCTCTCCCAGAGCTGCTCGTACTCCTCTTGCATAATAAAATTCAAACATTAATTGACATATTAATAACCCCTAAAAATTAGAAAATTAATTTTTTTTTAAACTTGCATTGATATGTCGAGAATTGTAAGATACTCATTGCTGTGTGCCCAAACATTAATTTGTATGGAGGGGCATAACTCTATAGTTCATAGAATTGAGCACTTCACTGTTTGATTCATGGTCATCATTGAACACAATCCCAACAAAATGAGCTCTGCTCGCATCCTCAATCATTTCCTCATACATGTCAGAATCGTGAAAAGTTTGAGAGGCATAACTTAATGAGGCTCCAAAATGATTGTACTAAATAGTTGGTTCAAATTCACCATTTGAAGTTCAATGCCAATAATTGGGCTTTAATCCTATATGGTGTAAGACCAACTTCATTTCTTCAGGTTTTAGGTACACTTGATTATTGTGCTTCGTATGGGGGCATAAAAACCTTCAATGCAAAAGATAAACAGACAGTTGTGATGCCACAAGCACGAACTCTTCAGCACCAGCTACAAACTTGTTAGTTAATTATTTTCTTTCTAGACATAATATGTTATACATCCACAATTTAACGCTTCAGATATCCATATGCATCATAGATATCTCTATAGATTAGTACAACATCATAGTGTTCTACCGAGTGTCATATTTTGTCACTTAAATCCTAGCCCAATTTCACACCTACATGAAACTCTCGACATAATCTACATATCATATCCAAAATTTTAGGTCACCTACACATCTTATCGGAAACCCAAAGCCCACAAATGCAGAGAAAGAACCAATTAACCCATTAGCACTCAAACAAACACATCAACTCATTAACCTATTAAATTACCACACAATTATCATACCCTTAACCATACAAAAATCAACACTAATCTAACTCCAATTTAAACTTACATAAGAAATTTATTATGTATTTACCTATCTCACACTAAAACTTTCATATTTACGTGCATATCACAACTTTCTTTTTTATTTACATAACTCACACCTAAATTTTCATATTTACATATTTACATAAAAAACACATTTTTACATACGTAGCACTAATCTTACGTATTTACACATCTCACGCCTAAATTTTCATATTTACATACATAACACACAAATTTCTTATGATTTACATAACTCACACATAAATTTTCATATTAACACCTAAATTATCATATTTACATATTTACACCCAAAGCATTATATACATAGCACTAATCAAACGTATTCACATATCTCAAACCTAACCAATTCATTTACACACATTTCAAATGTAAAATCATCAGATCTAAAATTACATAGCACAAAATTCTTATGTAATTACATATGTCAAATCTAAACTTTTATATTAGGCACATATCACTCTAAATTTATCTAAAATCATGAATTCCATATACATTGCATACCTAACAGAGGATCTTGAGCAAAACCTATATAACTTTGGATCTAATACCTATGAAAGAAAAAAAATGAAAACTAATGTCAAACAAAAGTTTGGACGTGAGGAAGAAGATTTCTCACATTGGACGAGGTTGGAGCGGTTAATTAGAGCCAGAATTGGCAGAAAAGTTTAGACGCGACGAATGAAAGTCAAAGGAGAATGAGAGCAGTTTGTGCAAGAAGATATGTGAACTGGAGGCTGTTGATCGTCGGATCCTACTTTAGGGCTTTTGCAACACCATTAGTGTGCCATTAGTGTCAGCTAATGTAGACACTAATAAGTAAGTTTAGCTAGTTTACATTTGGTATCATAGCAAGTTTTAACCTCTACCTTACTTACTCTGTTTAACTCTGTTTATGCATAAATCTTAGTTGAGACGTTAAGGTTAATGTCCGTTATTATTGCCCAGTTTTGGAGAAAACATTTTGATTTTAGGGCATTAGAATTTTGACATTGTTAATCAAAAATAAAATTGAAAATCATGTTGAAATCAAGTTTTTAAGCTTTTTGTGATTTGCCCATTGATTTTGACTGTGAAACTGTCGGGTTTCCCATTCGGAGCAGCGGGTCTGAACCGGGTCGAGATGACCCGGCTGAAGGTTGATGACGAGCCAAACGACTTGTCGTCTGGGCGCTGGTGAAAACGACGCGTCGTTTTTATTCGGAAAAAACCAGCTCCTTATGCAAAATGACATGTCGTTTTCTGTAAAAAAAGCACTGTTATTCATTTTATTTGCATGCAAATGTTTTATTCATTTTATTTGCATGCAAATGCAAATGTTTAGCTCTTAATAAAGAATTAATTAATGTTAGTTGATTCATATAATTTTAATTAATTAGGAAATAACCACAATATTTTTAATTAATTAAAATTATATATTAAGTTCAAAAATCACATTAAAA